AATGAATGGCCTTCGTGAAAATTAAATGGACTGACACATATAACATGTCTAGAACAGGTGAGGATGAAGTGAGTCGGTGTTTACCCCTTTTCCTGTTCTGCCTATGTTTTGTAGCGTGTGCGTGTGTTGCGGGGGAGGGGTTGTTTAGTATCAAGATTGTCCCAAAGAGCCCACTCTCTCTGCCAACCACAAAAACACTGCTAGGTTACCGGACTCTAGCCCAGTGGTCGGCAAACTCATTAGTCAACAGAGCCAAATATCAACAGTACAACGATTGAAATTTCTTTTGAGAGCCACATTTTTTAAACTTAAACTACTAACGCTACTTCTTCAAAATAGACTCGCCTAGGCTGTGGTATTATTTTGGAGAAAAACCACACTCAAGGGACTAAAGAGCCGCATGTGGCTTGAGAGCCGCAGTTTGCCGACCACAGCTCTAGAGTCACTCGGCAGATAACTGAATCCCACCGTTGTTAGCTCTCACTCTTCCTTCATCAAGACAAATCAGCTCACTGTTTACTGGCTAAGGCTTAGAGCTGTGCTGTCCGCTAACCACTGTGGTCACTGAGTACTTCAAATGCGGCCAGACCAAATTGAGATGTGCTCTACATAAGTGTAAGATACACACCAGTCAGGCTTTGAAGACGTAGTTGAACAGAAAATTGTAAAATAGCTCATTTAACAATTTTTATAACTTGATTTGCAATATACTGAACATACTGAGTTAACTATAATATATTAAAATCAATTTCACTTTTTTTTTTAATTGCTTCCTTCTCATCCATTGGATTTATTTTAGTTGCTATGTTCCTAACTTCTTAATTTAAGTGATTAGCTTGTTAATGCTTTTTTCCCCCTTGCTAATATGAACAATTAATACTGCATATTTCTCTCTAAAACTGACTTAGTTGCATCTCAGTTTTTTTGTTTGTTTGTTTGTTTGGTTGGTTGATTTTTCTTAATTCTCACCTGAGAACATTCAATTGATTTTTAGAGAGTGGGAGGGAGCAGAAGAGACAGAGAGAAACATCAATGTGAGAGAGACAGATAGATTGGTTGCCTCCCGCCCTTGCCCTGTCCGGATCTAGCCTGTAACTGAGGTACACACCTCTGACTAGAATCGAACCCACGGCCCTTCAGTCTGAGGGCTCTATCCACTGAGCCAAGCCAATCAGGGCTCCCACAGTTTTTTTAAGTCAACAATTCATCCAAAAGTTTTAACATCTATTTTCATTATTACTTCTCTATCTTTCAAATGTCAATACTTCCAAATTCAAAAATTTTTAAAGTTTAAAAATTATCTCTTAAAATGGTCATATAATTTAGTTGCATTGTGTTCAGAGAGAACTTTGTATAATACTGATTATTTTAAATGTTAGAACTTACTTATTTTATGACCTGGTTATAAAATTGAAAGATTATACCTTCAATTTTTGTGAAAGTATAATCTTCCCTTGCTATCTCTCTCCCTCTCCCTTCCTCTCTGAAATAAATTTAAAAATATATTTTAAAAATTGACGTTTTTATCTTCCTGAAAAATTCAAACTTTAATTTACTTATTTATTTAAAAAATTTTAAATGTAGCTACTTGAAATTTTTAAATTATGTGTGTGGCTTGGGTTATATTTCCATTGGACAGCGCTGGTTAGGGAAGGATAAGCAAGAAGCCTGCACCAGCCACCAAATCCTGGATGACTAAGGAGTTTATTACTGAAAACGATAAGCCAAGAGGAGTGTATTGGCGGCCTTGATAAAGTTCAACACTCTGTTCTCCTCCCTGCTGCCGCCCTCTAAATAGGAAATGAGAACAAGATGTGAAAAGCAGAATGGAGGTGAAGAACAGATAGAAGAGGATCGAAAAGCAGGAACAACGCAAGCAGATGCCGAGGAGAGAGGGCGGCCAGGGCAGAAGAAACGCTCTGAGTATGTAATAGAAAAACTGCTCCAGTTTAAATGTAACACATGTAAGCCTGAATTATGAAAGTGACAACGAGTCTTAAAAACAGCCCTGACATTCAAAAGGCAGAACTCCTATTTCAGCAAGTAGTTTTCATCAATTTTCCTTCTTTGAATGAATTGAATCATATCATACAATACTTAACTACTATGATTCCAGATATTAAAAACTTAAAGGGAAAGGGGGAAATTCATGGGTATAGAAGTTGATGAACCATTGAATCACTTAATCCTGGCTATTTTTCCATGGCATGTAAGAGGAAAACAAAAATGTCTTATATGGCCCCAAAAGACAAAACAAGAAATGGGCTTTTTCTTTCTTTCTTTTTTTGAAAAAATATATTTTATTGATTTTTTTTACAGAGAGGAAGAGAGAGAGGGATAGAGAGTTAGAAACATCGATGAGAGAGAAACATCGATCAGCTGCCTTTTGCACATCCCCTACTGGGGATGTGCCCGAAACCAGGGTACATTCCCTTGACCGGAATCGAACCCGGGACCTTTCAGTCCGCAGGCAAACCAGTTTCAGCTGGGCTTTTTCTTTAGGGCAGAGATTTTCAACCTTTTTCATCTCAGGGCGCACACAAACTACTAAAATTCTGTGGCACAAACAAAAACATATTTTTTTTGTCAATCTGATCCAAAGACATAATTTTCATTCACACCAGATGGCTATTATTGTGTTGGCTGTTGTACTTTTTTATTTGTCAGTCTAAGGGAAAAGAGGTCAGTGCCCCTGCCTTGTCAGGAATTGCATGTTTTACAAAGTAGAAATGCAGAGGAGCAGGGAAGGCAGGCCAGGGAAGCAGAAACAAAGTGTAGAAAGCTGAATGTTATAAAAACAAGGGAGAAGGGGTTCCCGAGCAGCCTTTGCAGGAAGAGGCCAGGGAGCTGAGGCAGAGAAAAGCAGTTTGGCCAGGAAGTTCTCGCCTGGGAGACAGAGACTCTTGGAGCTGAAGGGTCCCCACAGCTCAGCCTGTGCCGCCGCCTGACGCAGGGAGGACTGGGGCCTAGGAGTGACTGCACTTGCCGAGAACGTACAGGGCTCAGCCAGGTAGGAACTGATGTGATTCCCAATCCAAATCCTGCCTCAGGCATCTTGGTGAAAAGTGATGTTGCCATCATCATCTACTAGTGAGGAGCTACCAACGTATTTACCGAAAAGCTGGGATGGAATAGCTTTATCCGTAGCTCTCGAAGCTGAGTAAGCACGCACCAAATTGCAATGCGCTCTACATGAGTGTAAGATACACACCAATCAGGGTGGAAGGAACAAAAGCTGTATCCATCCATACACGCGGGAGCCCCACAAAGATATGAAGACTGAAAGGGCAGCCAGGTGATTCGCATCCTCTTTCACGTCCATTCGCTTCCCAAGAGCCAACCTGCTTGGATAAACGTCCCTTCTTTCTGACAAATAGCCCAGCGAGGAAAGCAGGGGAGACCCGGAGGAGGCAAACCAAAGAACAAAGGGTTTGTTCTTACTCTGCCTTAGAAAATATCTTTAAAGTTCAATACCAATCTGTTTTTGATAACAAGGGACAATTTGGTAGTTTGTGGCAAAATTACAGGCGTTTTCAGAATAAAGTCATGCAAGTTTTTTTTAGAATGTCTGCCTGTCCGCCTCTCTTTCTCTCTTCCATAACCCCCTGCATGCCTTCTTACCTCACCCACTTCTTTTTGTGGCTGGAGGAGGAAACGGCTCCCCTTCATGAGCATGGCTCCCTGCATCTCACTGGAGCAGCAGCAGCGCTCAGGGAATGCACAGACAGGCAGGAAGACCCAGCCATTTGGCACAGTGCTCTCCCAGCTCGCAGCAGCCTCTCTGCCCAGCCAAGCACTGGTGGGGATTTCGGTGATCCCCAGCTCTACCAGGAGGGAAATAAAAACACCTTCAAAGCTGTCAACCTGCAGGATATTGCAAGGGAAACCACAACCCTTGTTGAGTCAGTGCCCTTCGCTGGCTCAACAGACAGGGATTCCTCTTCCACAGCTTCAGGACAGGCGTCCTTCTGAGGAAGAGGAACAGCAGTCACCAGCTCAGCAGAAGACGAGTCTCCTTCCTCTTTATAACGCCAACACCCAGCACCGTACTTGGCACAAAGAGCAGGCGACCCACAGGTGCCGGATAAAGCGGGGCATGGAAAAACCATTTTCTCTTTTAAACAAAAGAGCAGAGGGTCCCACAGTACACGAATTAAGGCCCGAGGGCATAACACTCGTCTTTCAAGTCGGCTGGTGATGCTGCAGCACCTTCTTCACTCCTAAACACATGTTGGGGTCAGAACCATGGGGCCACGAGCCTGGAAGTGACCTCGACCATGAGCAGGTCAAGCCTCCCAGCTCAGCGCGGGAGACTGAGCCCCACAGGGACACAGATGTCGGCCAAGGTCACCCAGCTGGTGTGGGCTGGAGGTAGCACCCCGCCTCTCCCTATTCGCCCAGCTCCTCAAGAGAAGCTCCCCGAAACCCTGGTGTCACTTACACACTTAAAAGGCGCATCATCCATGCACACCCGGGTCAGCCCACTGCTTGCAGTTCGGAAGAAGCCAAATACCACCCGAACACGTCTCTGCCGCAGGGCTGGACGCAGGGTGGGGGCAGGAAAGGTCACTGGCGAATGTCTACCGCGGACATCACACACATTACGCCCTCCCGATGGGCGCAGAGGGTCGTTTCTCCGGGAGCTACTCGTTACCGTGTAAAAAGGGTCCGCCAAGCCCGTTCCCGGGGAAGCGAGTTAACCGGGCTCCGCCGGCTGGGAAGCTTCCAGCAATGCCCTAAGCGCCACCGAGCGGCTGCAGGACGCCGGGGAAAGGGCCACTGCGGCTGGACGGACTCCGCACCCCGGCCGCTCCCCCTGCGCCTCCCCAGCAGCGCCCGGCGGCCCGAGCCCCCGTCTCCCTCCGGGGGAGCCGTGCCCCCGGCCGGCGCTGTCCGCGGGGGCGGGGCCGCCAGACACGCCAGGCGGGGGCACAGAGGTATGGCCCCCGCCGCCCCCCGCCCGCGGGCCCCGCTGCGCCCCGAGAGGCTGCGCCACGTACCTCGGCCGGCAGGTGCCGCCGCCGCCGCCTCGGTCCGCGCCCGCAGTGGCCGCCGCTCTCCGCCGCGGGCCGCCCCCGCGCGCATGCTAGGGAGCGGGCGCCGGCCCGCAGCCAGCCCCCGGCCCCGCGCGCCCGCCCGCCCCCGCCCCCGGCGCCGCGCGCGCGCCCATTCAACCCGGACCGGCGCTCGCCGCGCGGATGCGGAGGAGGGGCGTGGGGGGCGGGGTCGTGGGGAGGGGGATGAGCATCACGAGGGCCTCGGGAGCCAATCGGAAGGCGCGAAGGCTGCGGCTGCGGCGGCGGCCTCGCCCCCGGGACGCGCAGCCCCGCCCCCTGGCGCTGTCTGGGGGAGTCGGGCGCCCAGGCTCGGGATGCGCCCAGGGCGGTGGGCAGGCGGTCCTGCTGCCGCCTCTGATCTGCGCTGCGGCCGGAGGGCGGAAGGAAGTCCGTGCGCTCTAGCGGAGGAGCCAGTGAATGAAGGGGCTTTGCAGGGCCGCCTGCTGGGCTCACCAGCAGCCGCACCCCAGGCCGATGCCGGTCCCGAGCCTCCGCGGCCCTCCAGCCCAGCCCGGGCTGCATCGGCACGTCTGGGAGCTTTTGGAGCAGCCTTCCCCGAATAGGATAACAGAGAGAGACGAGGCTGGTTATCCGCCAGCTTTACAGATGGGTGATGGAGGTCCAGAGAGCAAGAAGTGGGTCACCCTAAATCATTTAGAGCAGCCGCCTGGGTCAGTATGAGAACCTGAACTCGGAGCGCCCACTTCCATGCCTCCGGAGTCCCCTTGGATTCTAGACTTTAAAACAACATCAATATTAGTGAACCCTAAAATTCTGAAGTTTGAAAGAGTTTATAACGTTGGTAGGTTATTTCTGTAACTTTGTATTATGTGCCTGCGATATATTTGTGTCCCATGATTTGACTCTTCCGTGAAGTTGGTCTGCTTTCAGAATTTCCTTTTCATGATAATGAATTCAAAACATCGTGGCTAGGTGCCTGTAGTACCACTTCCTGTTTGAAAAGAAGATCCTAGACTTAGATCCAAATATATTTGCCTAAGCCCCAAGTCTTATTGCTAGGAGTTCTACACGATTTGCATAACTCCAAACAAGGTTTGAAGGTGTGTGTTCTTCCCTGGGGACAGGGGTGAGGGGTTGGGGAAACGTATCCCTGGGTAACTGAGGTCACGAGGAAAGTCTCCGATAGGGAAAGGGAAGGGTGGGAGGACTGTCTTCACACCTCCCGGAGAGCTTTTGTCATAAAAATGCTTCTGGGTGATTCTAAGGTGAGGACACTTGAGCATTTTTATTTATTTTTTTTTTTTTGGGGGGGGGATAAAGGAAAGGCTGTCACTGGAGATCTAATCCAGAAGGTTGGCCAAGGCTGGCCAGGCAGAGCAGCTGCCTGCGTCAGTGACAGCTGCGGGGAGAATGCTCAGCACCTCTCCCCCTCTCTTGGAGACCAGCCTGAGGCCTGCCTGCTTGGTGAGACACGTTACCTCTTTGCTTCAGCGACTCTTCCCTTTTCTCCCAGTTTCTCCTTGTCCATAGAACTCGGCCCTGAAAACACTGACTGGCTGGGAGTCCCAGTCCTCTAGCTTGGAAGGTGACGGTGGTGAGGAAGAGGGGGAGCTTCTAGCCTGATAGGACAGCTGGCTTCTCTTGTACCCACTCCCTCATCCAGCCCACTGACAGTTACTAGGGAAACAGGCTGACCCACTTGTGAATCAAGACAAGCCCTGACACAAAACATCCTTTTCACTGGCCACAGAGCCATCTTTAGCTACCGTTCTGGATTAAGACAGGGATTTCCCAAACAGTAGATTAGGATCAGCCACTAGATTTCAAAGCCTCACCTGGAATCTCTTCAAGTCAGTGGCTAGTGCTAGCAAGAAACTATAAATCCGGGCCAGGAACCATGATTTTTAAATTCTTCAGTTCCTTATGCTCATCATCACTTTGGCCATTCTGTTAGCAGGCATTTGGTTGCCCCCAGCATCCATGCCACCGCTCCCCAATTAGCTCCGTGAGTGGGGCTTAATTGGCCTAAGTCAGTGGTTCTCAGAATATGGTCCATGGACTTCCTCGTGGTCCCTGAGGACCTTCCAGGGAATCTCTGAAGTCAAAATTAGTTCATAATAATCTACTATTCTCAGTGATGGTTCAACAGCAAAGTTGTGCAAAACTGCCAGTGCCTTCACAAATCAATTGCACCAATTGCACTAATATTCTCTACCACCGCATACTCATGTGAAACACGCAGTTTCACTAAGAACATTCTTACTGATGCAGTAAAAACTATTAACTTTGGTAAAATCTCAATTATTGAGCATGCATCTTTTTAATAAATGACAAAATGAAAGCTGCACACAAAACACTTTTGCCACAAACGGAAGTGTGATGATTATGTAAGAAGTGCTTATGGAATCATTTGAGTTGCAAGCTGAACTAGCTGTTTGTTTGATTTCCTGAAACACCATTTTTTACTTGAGAAGACATCTGACAAATTATGGTTATTCTTAACTTGGGTATTTGGGTTTTCTTGGAAATGAACTAAGTGAGTCTGTCCGCTCAAGGAAAACAATTGATCATCGCCAAGAATGAAAAAAAAAAAAAAATCCCAGTTTTCAAAAGAAACTTAGAATTTTGGAAAATGTATATCATTATGAGTTAGACAGCTTCTCTTTCTGACGGTGAAATTAAGAGATGTGATTTTTGGATACTGGTTAATGTATAATGTGTCAACATTCGAAAGACTGGCATTTACTTGGCAAGTCAATGTTTTCCAAATGGCTAGTGCATGATGTTCCAAACTCATTTATTTTACATGTAAGTCAGACAATGGATTTTCATTTAACAAAATGAAAAGTTTATAGATAAGGTTTCAGATCCACAGTGCGAGCAATCTTTATGAAATGACCTCTTGCAGAGTTTTGGGGTAGTATTAAAGAAGAATATCCACAGTTTTCTTAAAACCTTATTAACATACTCCTCCCTTTGCTATTTATACATTGATATGAAGCAGATTTTCTTCATGTACTTTAACCAAAACAGTTTGCAATGGGTTGAATGCAGAAACAGATATGAAAATTCAGCTGTCTTTTATTAGCTCAGTCTTAAAGAGAATTTAATTTCTCTTTAAATATTTCTTTTTAATTTATTGATTTGAGAAAGAGAAGGAAGGAGAAAGAGACAGACAGACTGATTTGGTGTTTCATTTATTTATGCATTCATTGGTTGATTCTTGTATGTGCCCTGAGCAGGGATCAAGCCCTCAACGTTGGTGTATCCAGATGACACTGACCAACTGAGCTACCAGGCCAGGACAGGAATTGAATTTTAATATGGCAAATATCAAAAGATAAAACTTCCATTACAAATTTCCTCTGGGATTCTCAGTAGTTTTTAGAAGTGTAAAGGGGTCTTGTGACCATAGTTTGAGACCTGCTGGTCTAAGCCACCCAGAGGCATCCCATCCTCCCTGCCTCTAGGATTGGTTCATGGGTGCCCATAGAAACCAGACTGGTCCAATCAGAGGGAACCTCAGGAATTATTGGATGGCGGGAGAGAGAGGCTTTCGTTTCCTGGTAGACAGGAGCCAGGCAGTAAATGGCCTCAGAAGCTGCTGATAAGGCAGCAATTTTAAGTATTGGAAGAGGTTATCTTAGAAAGAGAATCATATGTGGGAAGTAGGGAGAGAGGTTAGGGAGAAACCATTTCCTTTTTGACATTTTTGAGCCATCAGATCAAACCACCCCACAGCCCATTCATTCTACTGCTTGCTACACATTCCAGTTTTATGAGCCACTGAATTCCACTGAAGGTTAAACCTGTTAACCTCAGATGCCCCGACTGATGCGTTGTGACCTGTTTGTGCATATTTCTACCTAAACCAAGTACCTATCGTCTCAGATAATGTACTTTGTAGGGTTTACTCATTCAGCCTTTGTCATTAAAACACGAGTTAGCTTCTGAAGTAAAGTTGGAAGGCAGAATGGGGTCTGTGAGGAAAGACTAGCAGAGACAAGTAGGGTTAAAGTGCTAACAACATTTTTGAAAGCAATAAGAAAGTGTGGCATATGATATTGAATAGCAAGATTATATATATATAATAGCAAGATTATATTAATACACACACACACACACACACACACACACACATATATATATATATATATATATATATATATGTCAGAGAAGAAGGGAGAGGGTAGAGAGAGGTAGAAACATCAGCGATGAGAGAGAATCATTGATTGGTTGTTCCCTGCATGCCTCACACTGGGGATTGAGCTTGCAACCCAGGCATGTGCCCTTGACCAGAATTGAACCTGGGACCCTTCAGTCTGTAGACCGATGCTCTACCCACTGAGCAAGGAAGCAGATTTTTTTTTATTTCATTTTTTATGTATTTCTCAAATTGGACAACATAAGTATGTATTGCTTTTATTTTAAGGAAAAACTAGAATTATATTATTATTATTACTGGAGGCCCAGTGCACGACATTCGTGTGCTGGGGTGGGGGTGGGGGGAGCTCCCTCAGCCTGGCCAGAATAGGGAGCGGGTGTAAGCCAGCAGGTGGACATCCCTCGAGGGGTCCTTAGCACTGTTGCAGAAGTAGGAGAGACTCCCGCCACCACCATTGCACCACCAGCCATAAGCCTGGCTTCTGGCTGAGTGGTGCTCCCCCTATGATAGCACACTGACCACCAGGGGACAGCTTCTGCATTGAGTCCCTGCCCCCTGGTGGTCAGCATGGGCAGTCGTTCTGCCTATGGTCAATTTGCATATTAGGGTTTTATTATATAGGATTATTATTGATTGATTTTAGAGAGAAAGAAACATCAATTTGTTCCACTTATTTATGCATTCACTGGTTACTTCTTGTATCTTTCCTGATCAGAGATCAAACCCCTTGGCATAAGCAGGATAACGTTCTAACCAACTACTCAGGCTAGAGCTACCTTGCCAGGGCCTTTATTATTATTATTATTAATTAAAAATATATTTTTCTTGATTTTAGAGAGGAAGGGAGAGAGAGAGAGGGAGAGAGAGAGAGAGAGAGAGAGAGAGAGAGAGAGAGAGAGAGAGAATATCATCAATAGTCAGAGAGAATCATTGATTGGCTGTTTCCTACATGCC